TGGCTGCTTCAGAGGTGAACTCCCTTTCATATTCTGCCATATAGCTCCCGACTTGTGCCAGGAAAAAAACCCAAATCCTTGGGATTTCCTCCAAAGTTCACATCTAACGGGGGCAGGTTGCGTCTTCCAGGAATCACACCTATTGCTGGGGCTCCCCAGGCGGCAGCCGGCTGCTGCGCTGGCGTAGGCTGGGCTAGGGGGGTGGGGGCAGCCCGACTTCCCCAGGCTGAACTCACTCCCCCTTCCCCCTCATACCTTGGAGCTATGCCGGGCTTCTCAGAAGCGTCCATAAGGAATTTCCCGGCTTGATCCAGCCTGCATTCCATCTCCTCCCTCTCTTGCCACAGCCGTTCCCTCGCACCTCTTCGACTTACAGTGATCCCAGGAGGGGGGTCTTCAGGATCTCTCCATCCAACCCCTAACGACCATCTGGGCATCTCAGCTGGGGGTTCTTCCAGAGTAAGGTCAGCCAGCAGGTTGGCGGCTGGCATCTCTGGTAGCCCCCCCGCAGCTCCCTGGCTGTCTTCATCGCTGGCTGGAGATGACATGATGTGAAACCCCCTCGGAAGAAAAGTTGATATTTTCTCCGGGTGGGCTGATGGGGTAGATTCGGAATAATGTCAGTGTGTGCTCCCTTCAAGATCCAAGAAAGAAATACTCAGACTCCATGGGTTAGAGCAAAGTTATCCTTTTACTGGAAATCAAAGTGGAAGCTACAGATTGAATTCCGAACCTGAGGAATTGGCGCGCAGATCACATATACAAAGGAATGGAATTGTTCCCACCCCCCAAAGTCCAAATGACTCTTCCAATTAAAAGTTCTGAATATGATCATGTGGGCATCTTCAGGTGGTGATGAGGCCTCTGTCCGTTGACCTTGACATATTTTGATAAAACTTCGCAGCTGCGCAAAAGGGGATAGAAGCTAGCAAGGAAATGGAAAGTTAAAGACAAGAATTCATACACCCCCTCCCCTTGCTTACCCACAGCAAAGGAATGCAAAACACCTCCAGCTCTCTTCCCCTCCAAGTTCCCCCTCCCCCCGTTGCTAATGACAGCCGAAAGAGAAAAAGCAGTGAGCATAATAGCAGAGAAGATGCAGCAGATAGGATGCAGAAGATATAAGATGTAGAAGATATCTTGAGGCTGACAGGTAGTAAAAAAAAGCCTTTGACGATCAGCTGAGAGGAGAAAGAAGAGAAAAGCACAGGATCAGCCCTCCCACCTGCCCCTGTGCTTTTCTCTTCTTTATCCTCTCAGCTGATTAGTGCTGTAGGCTTTAGCTGGTGTATGGAAAGCTACATGCACGCATTAGGTGTGTGCACATGACCACCAAACCGGTAGTGGAACAGATGAGATCCCACTGCTGCAAGGTAGCCACATTCTCCTGAAGATTCTATGCAGCAATTTTAAACTTCTTCCAGATTATCTGAGGAAGGGTCTTCTTGGCCTTTACAGGATTTTCTCAGTCTTTTGATCGTCAAAACAATCACATTAAACTGTCAGGGAAATAGAACTGGATTGATCTTTCTTTCTTTTTTTTTTAAACAAATGTTATTAATTTTTTAAAAAACAATACATAAACAAACTAAACGTAGAATGTAATAACATAAAGCATCTTTTCTGAAAAAAACCAATAAAACATCTTATTTAAAGACAGAATAATTCCAAGTTATCACATTTCCATACAAACACAATTTAATATTATATATTTATCTTATCTATTCAACTTCATATCTTATCCCCTTCTCTTTATTTCTCCCTTTCCTTCTACTATTCAATTATATTTCTTTTGCCTTAGATTATATATATTCTTTATATCCATCTGTCTTATTTACAATTTCATTATTCTCTTCCAATGTTCTTCTTACATTCTTCTAAAATTGGATTAATTCAGACATAGACAAACAAACCACAAAACATAAATACATAAAACTTCTTTTTACACAAATAAACAAAACACAAAAACGTAGAACATCTTTTCTGAAAGTTGCTTGATCCTGGGTTACAACTCTTCGTACAGACACAAATTCAAATTCATATTCATTTTATATACCATTCCCATCTTATTACCACTTTCAATTTTCTATATAACTTCTCACCTCTTTTAACTTTCTTAATTTTATTTTATTTATCTCATCTCAATTCAAATCATAATACTTATTATTCTTTGTCTGTTCTATTTCCAGCTATCCATTTATCTTTTCTCTTTAAACAAAGTTTCTCCTGTACACTGATTGGAGTATGACGCCTTTAACTCTTTCCCCTAAATTTATAACACTTAATATAATACATGACTTCCATTGGGATTCTGTTTGGTACATTCTAGCATTACACACTATATTTTAAAAAAGGAAAAAATTATAAATGAATAATATAATTAAAACAACAATCCATACTAATTCAATTCTATCATTAGTATTAATATTCATTTAAATCTTAACGTTTTACCCATTACTTTTCAGATACGTATCATACTTCTATGAGAACACTTATACACTTTCCATAGTTAATTCCTCCCCACTTCACTTATATTTTATAAAACATTGGATAATTAAAATGTTCCCGTTCCTTCCTAATTCAATTCTCTCATTTATTACATTTCATTTATTCCATTCACAATTTTATTCTCTAAAATTACTCAATGTTTTTTATTTTAAAAAAAGGAAATTATAGGTATATGATGTAGTTAAAACAGCTATTAATGCCAATACAGATCTAATCATAAATATTAATATTCATTTATATCTTAAACACTTTACACATTACTTTCCAATTAAATATCATATTTTTATGGGAACACTTATACTTTCCATAATTATTTCCCCCCCCCTCCCCACATCACATATTTTAAATCTTTATTTCATTAGGATGTTCCCATTTCTTCTACTTCAATTCTCTCATTTATTTCATTACCTTCTTTTTCCTCACAAAAATTTCACTAAATTACGCTAAATATTTTGTCCCATTTTTGGTTTCATGTTGTTTCCAATTTTCTGACATTATTTCTAAGTACAAATATAAAAATACAATCTAGTGTACCTTTACAGAATTCCTTTTTCAATTAAATTTACCCATTGTCTCTAAAAGAATTTTGTTTCTTTACATCTTGCTCCCCGCCATTGAGGCTTCTCATCCCTTCCATTCTCCCTTGCTTATTCTTCTCCTTGCCCTTTTTACCCCCTTGTCTCTCCACCTCCCTTTTCTTCTTCTGCTTTCCCCCTTTCTGTTGATTTCTAACATTGTATCCACTTTTCCCCTTATTTTTCTCTTTTTGGGTTGTTTTTTCAAGTCTTAAAGTCCCCTTTTTCTTTTCCTCTTTCTCCTCTCCTTCCCCAAATAGAGTCACTTGATCATCAAAGATGGCTTCTTCTTTATCCCAATCATCCTGTTGCGCAGTCAGTTTTTCATAAGTACAAACCGCCATTTCCAAGAATTGAAAAAGAGTGCCAAGAGAATCTTTCCCTTCTTGTTCTTCTTTTTTGTATTTTTGGTATTCAATTTTCAATTCATCCAGAAGTAATGCCATTGTAGAGAGAAAAGGTTTTTCCAAAACAACCACCCAAGTGCTTTTAATCAAAGGTAGTTCCCAAATGTTCCAAGATCACCAAACAATCCAAATAAGCTGTTTCTTTTAGTACTTTCTTCTTTCTTCCCTTTCTCTTTCTGGGGTTACTGTTTAGTCACAAAGTTCCAGTTAAAATATATCTTTTAGAAGTCTTATTAATATTTAATAACTCTTTGAAGTTCTAGGCAATCTCCTCACTTTCAAATTCTGCTCGTTTTTTTCCCCTCTCCCTTCCCACCTACAGCAAAAAAAAATATTTTTTTGCGTATTCAGAAATCCTTATCCCTTTAGCATTTAATTACCTCCAATGCGGGTTTTCCGATTTCTCTTTCTCTTACGGTTCTGTTCGCTGTCACGTCAGGAAGGAGAGTGAAAAAAAAGAAAAAAAACTTTCCCTTTTAAATTTCCATTCGCCGCTTATAAGTCTCTGGGGACAATATATCTTGGGCAGCTTTTAAAATCCAGGATAGTTTCGCTGTACTTTCCCCGGTCAGCAAAGAGCACTTTCACTTCTTCACAACTCCTCCTGCACTTTCTTTTCCCGGCTTAGCGCTTCTATGTGGCGGCCATTACTGACCACCACTCAGCTGCCTTCAGAAAAGGGAGTTTTGCCGGCTAGGGAAGAGAGGTACGATATCTCTCGACCCTGCCAGGTCCCCACTGTCTTCGCCACCTTCTACGGAGGTGGCTAACCCTGAAGCCGGGTGGCTCAGGGCACTCGGGCAGCGAACACAGGCAGAAACCGCGCACAATCACGGATTCCTGCCTGCCCCGAAGCGCTGCAGACCAGAAGTTCATCAGAACTGGATTGACCTTTCAAGGCTCTCTTCCACATAATTTAATAAAAGAAATTAAGAAAATCTTCTCATTAAATGGTTGTTGTTTTCTTTGAAGCTGAGTTTACTTCATATGTTTTCATCACCTTGTTTTATGCTTGGAAATAACTGACTTTGGGCTAAATTATTTAGAGTTTTCACTCTCTTTGCTCATGTTTTTAAGGTAACTTTGGTACTAGGTTGGCCAGGATTTTTCATCTTTTGTGAATTTGACAGAAACAGAGTTTCCCTTATTTTCTACCACATAATTACTCCCCTTGGACTGTCCCTGTAGATTTTCCTACATGCCATATTTGTTTGTTTGCTTATTAAATTTATTTGCCACTCATCTCATTTTGAAGTGACTCTGGGTGTCTTACAACATTGAAAGCATTAAAATAATAAAAAATAAATATTTCTAACACAATAAAAATGGAGATTATAATGAAAAATTTATGTAAAAGTTTGTGAAAAATAAGTTACTTTATACTCTTTAAAAAATTGAGTTCCTTGAGTCAGCTTTATTGAAGCTGAAGCAAATCATAATATACTTCGTTTGCTTAACTCAGTCTGTTTAAATCAGCTCTGAAGACTTTCATAGTATTTTTGGCTTATTTTAATATGAAGTCTCATTTTTAAATCAGATTTGGCAAGAAAAAAGAGGATAAAGGTGTAAAAAGTGATCAGAAGGGAAACTCCAAACAAGTCACACTGAAAGAAGTTGACCTAGAAAAGAGGAAGGAGGAACGGGAAAGGTGAGCTCTGTGTGTGTGTGTGTGTGTGTGTTGTTGTTGTTGTTGTTGTTAATTGCTGGTCTTCAATGGAAAGAAAAGCTGAGCGCTGGACAGCAAAGGTTGGGGAAGGTACTCAAGAATGTCTATCATTCTTCATGGAAAAATTATTACAAAACAGCATCTATGTGTAAAAATTGTCAGTGTGTATTGGGTAAATTGAATTTTAAAATGTAGGTGAGTATTACTTTCACTTTTAAAAACTGAATGTAGAAGAAATTGTTTACTTAAGACTACATTGGAAAAGTCATGTAGAAAAAGCCACAAATACCAGGGTAAGTTGCACACAGAATCATATACTGAGAAACCGTACATTGAAAAAATAATATGTAATGATTGCATATTCTATGTCAATACATATGTGAAGAAATTAAATAATATATAAATCCCTCTGGCTGTGATACAGGCCACATTTCCAATGATCTCTTGTGCCCTGAACTTGGTTTAGTTGGAAACACAAAAAAGCCTGACATCACTTGCTAAATTCAGCACTTTGTTTTTTATTATAATTATTTATAAAATGTTTATAAAAATATACATAATGTTACACAAATGATAAAATTAGTTTTAAAGTTAATCCAACCATACCAATAATTGTTTTCATATGAATCTCCATCTCCAATATCTTTTATAGCAAAAATGGTGGTTGGTCTATATGCTTAGGCAGCACTTGCATTGATGACACTGAAATTTCTATCACCGGCAATTGTAAAGTACATGTCTTTCATTTTTATGGAAGCTCATGTTCATTGTTGGGATCCTGGCAAACTAAGAGCATGCATCCCATCTGTTAAAGGGCCACTGCCATTTGTTAAAATGTTGGCAGACTTCTGGGAATGATCCCGTCTGTTTCTAGGTTAATGTTCCAATTGGACAGACGTGGAGTAATTGTTGTTAATATTTCTTGTAGTGGTAAAATCTCTTTCAAAATAGAATATATTCCCTGTAGTGACAGTTAATTAGTAAGAACCTATTAAAAACACTCGGGTCCATGCCTTTATAATTCTGGTTTATCTTGTCTAATAATTATTCACCTTTTGACCTGGAATCATTTGAGACAGAAATGGGGAACAGCAGGTGTGCCTAGAAGCTGATGAACCTATATGATATTTTTAACTCACATATTTGATTTTTATCCTACAATTAAACAAGAAAAGAAATACCATTTTTCCTTGGATAGTTTTCTATCATTAATTCTCCTTTAGAAAAAAAAAATGTACATGAATCCCAAAGGAGGGCTTAATCTATACCATATAGTCAAGGAGATTATTCCTATTTTCTCTGTCATTTTTATGTAACATATTAATGTGTTATCTTTCTGAAGACAGTGCTGGTCAATGTTGCCTAGAAGAAGGCTTTTGTTTTAACAAGCATGTCACACAAGTAAGTTTTAACCTTTGGATGCAGCTGGTAATATAAATATAGCTCCACTCTTTTACTAATATTTTATTGAGTGAGATGACTCCCCAGGAAAGGCAGCAAAAATGCAGACCTTATTATTCCAGATCACACTAGTAGACTGTTTAGCATCCCATTCTTAAAGCCTTCCTACTTCAGCCATGCACATCATAAATTAATTCCTATAGTTCACTATAAGGATAGGATGATTGGTGCATCCAGATGTTTTGACTATTACTTTCACAACACCTTGTTTTGGCCATGCTGGCTAAAAGTAGAAATATCTGAAGGGTACAAGGCAGTGATGGAATTCAAAAATTTTTACTACCGGTTCTGTGGGCGTGGCTTGGTGGGCTGGCAGGGGAAGCATACTGTAAAATCTCCAGTTGGAGATGGTATTTGCCGGTTCTCCGAACTACTCAAAATTTCCACTACCGGTTGTCCAGAACTGGTCAGAACCTGCTGAATACCACCTCTGCCATGAATGGCAGATTGAAGTCCCCCAGAACCATAAATGTGGAGAACACCAAAGACCATAAGCTTGGAAAACATCACTACAAACCTGGCCAGATTTAGCAGCTCTGGCAGTTGGTTGGTGTGCAGCAGGAAAACTGGTACACCTGCAACAGTCCATTCTGATCCCTGCAGCCCAGCTTCACAAATAAAGCCTCACACCTAGCAATCTTTGGAGCAATTCTCCTGAAAACCAGTAGATTTATCATGCTTTATGTCTACTCTACTGGTAGTTTCCCATCACTTGGTGTTCAGCTTTTAATGGCTTGCTCCAAAATGGCTACAAGTCTCTAAAGACATTCATGCTGTGGAACATGTGTCTCCGGAGCCGGCGCCTCAATGGGTGAACCTGCAGGGCTGGCTGGCGCCTCGAAAGCCCCCCTGCCGCCTCTTAGCACCCCTCTGCTGGCCCCCTTGGGGACAGTAAGAGGTGGCAGGGTGGCGGTGCATTGAACGCTGCCACGGCGGCACATAATGTGCTGCATTGGAGGCACCAGCTCCGGAGCGGTGCTGCAGTCAATGGGTGAACCTGCAGGACCGGCGCCTTGAATGCCCCCCTGCCACCTCTTAGCGCCCCCCTGCCAGCCCCCTTGCCTCTTAACGCCCCCCTAAGGCATCCCACCGCCCCTCTTAGAACCACTGATCTAAGTTATGAAGACGAGTGACACTTTAATGCTTTCTATTGCTATTCTGTTAACATAATGAGAGTTTACTCAGAGAGAAAGGCTGAATTTTATAACTCTGCCCTAAAATTCACTAATCCTATAATGTGTAAAGTAGTTCAGGCCTGAGATTTTAATGGATGTAGTGGCAACAACTATCATGCAGTGAGCTTCTGCTGTGGATCTTGCTGCCACTATGACTTCATAAGCTGCATACTTTGTCTTACCTTCTGAACAGGCCAACCCTCAAGAAATGATTTACAAGAATATAGGCTCTGCACACTTAGTTGCACATTCCTCATTAGGTGAGATTAATTTATTGTAAACCTTAACCATTGCAGTGTCTAGAGATAGCAGAAAAATGATATTATGAGCCTGAGCCATTCATCTGGGTTTTATAGATTTTAACTGCTTTCCTAATTACTGATATTGGTAAAAGTTTGTTACCCATCTACTATGAAATTTCCGTATCTGCTAACATGATAGTTTGGTGCTGTTGCTATGTTTATATGGTGGAGAAGTAGAAAAATATTTTTCCTTCTCTTGGCACTTTGATCTTGTTCCCAATCATTTTCCTGAAGAGAAGTTATGAGGGGACAGACTAGGGCAGGGGTGTGGGGACGGGGCCAACTAATCGCCAGAACTACCCATTTGCCGTTACCAGCAGATCCCACCCCTGGCCACAAATTCAGAAGAATCCTCCAGTCATAGACCTGTATCTTTATGGGCAATGCTTCCCTATCAAGAGATAGCACCAGCATACTGAGCAACCCCCTCATCAAAATTAAAGATTTTAAAATAAATAAATTAGGATGCCTTTCTTAAAATTAAGAATTCTTTAAATGTTGAGCACTGTTTTACAAATACAGATTTCAGAGTCAGAATGCTCAGAACCTACGGATTTCATTTGAAGCACTTCTATTTGCTAAATGAAAAATTGCAGTGACCTCCTTGAGGAAAACATATGTTGAAATCCTTCCTTCTCAAGATCTTTATCCCTCTTTAATTATTTTTTTTATAAATAAGATGGTAAACACACAAAATACTCCTTTCTTCTATTTTCCCCACAACAACAATCCTGTGCGATGGATTGGGCTGAGAGAGAGTGACTGGCCCACAGTCACTCAGCTGGCTTTCATGCCTAAAGTGGGACTAGAACTCAGTCTCCTGGCTTCTTGCCTAGTACCTTAATCACTAGACCAAACTGGCTCTTTTATGAAGTAGAAAGAGGTCACCTTATTAATGGACATGATATTGTCTTACAGCAAATAGGGTTACGTACAGAAAATAAAGAAGCAAAATATAAAGCTAGTCCTTGTTTTCTGTAGCTCTATATCTGAAAAAATGAATGTTAGTCTTGGGGGATCTAATAAATTATTTCAAATTTGTGGTTTCCTTGAATTCCACAAAGCCTTGCAAAGCTCAAAAGATAGCCTGCATTGTCTTTTCAACCCTGAGCATTGCTGCATGCTAATACACTTTAAATCAATATGTATCTGTTTGATATTTGAGAAAATGAACTTTAATATTGCAGCTGTGGATACTTGGCATGAGCTAAATTCAGTTCCATTTTGAAAAAACATGGAGTAACTCAGAAATCTAATTTTAATCTGCTAATGTTTACAATGCTTTATTGTGTTCCTCCCCTCCACCCAAAAATGTGATATGAAAATTAATATTAGTGCAAATCACCCTTTGAATTATAGCATGAGAGATCTACAAAGGTGGGTTCCTTTCTGAAAATCTTTTAGACCTGTGAACTATCAGTTCAATCTGGTTTGCTCAGCCCTTTGTAGGCCTTTCTTTTGGTCAGCTTTAATGTTCTATCCTGGGCAGTACTGGATGGGAAGGTAAAACACAGAAAACAGAAATGAGAGGGAGGGAGAGAGAGAGAGAGAAACCCATTTCCCAAAGAAAACACTGGGAGCCACAAAACCCGGATAAGCATGGCAGGGGGTGTCATGTGACTGGGTGGGAGTGACATTGAGTTGTCCATGCCCACCCAGGTTTTGAGGGTCCCGGTATTTTATTTTCTGTGGGAAATGGGTCCAAGTGGCTCTTTGAGTGTTTAAGGTTGCAAACCCCTGATTTAGGCCTTAATTTGCCTGTACCACCATCCCTAATAGAAATCACATTTTCAGTGAGGGAGAGCTGGTTTAAGCCTGCTATTATGAACAGAGTTGCCAAGTTTTTATCATCAGCTATTGTCAGAAGCAGACTCAAGATATCATAAACTTGAATGATGTCACCAGGAACTTCTTTTACCCTGATTTTATTTTACTGATATTGTTTTGTTTTTCTTATTTTCTTGTCTGTTGTTTTCCTGTTATACTTGTAAATTATAACTGGCGGATTTATTTGGTGTCTTCATTGCTCTTACTGTATTTAAGG